ACATACTCACATATTGAGACACTCATGAAAACTGCACGATAGTTCTACTGTCAGTTCTTTTTAACTCACTAGTTGGTTGCTACATGTACCTACCCTACACAGTTCATTCAAATGAAATACTGCAAACAAAATGACTTCTGTATTGCTTTATATCCCAACATTTTGCTCAGTGAATATTTTCTATTATATCCAATAGAATTTTTTATCCCACAATGCACTGCTTATATACACAATAAAAATTATATCCAGGAGTAGTAAATCCCTTAAGATTCATCTTTTCAGCTGCACAGTGTCACAATAATCTCAAGTGCAATATAAAAACGACAATTATTAGCTGAATTGGGGCAACAATTGAAAGCAAGTAAAACATGAAAATCTTGACAGCAGAATATAAAGCAGAAGTTAAGACCCAGATGACAAGATTGAACCATCATTCATTTGCAAATAAAAATGAATACAAGATTTAAAAGTATGCTAACAGTATGCAATGTTATATTCAACTCACAGCTAAAATGATCTCTTTCATGTCATATGGTTTATTGGATGCATGTGGCACCGTAGAATCCAGCGCTGGGGTTAACCGATCCCTGGAAAATAAAAAGGAATTGTTTTAAATAATAATGCTATTCACCAGGAAAATTACAAAAAAAAATATGTAGATCAAAATGTATGTTCATTATTTTATATGGACATGTACAGTTTTCTATATTAATGAAGTTTACTCTCAAATATTATCACATAAATCAACGGACAACAAAATCAAGGCAAACATCACCATCTTGGACAATTGTAGCAACAGACTGTACAAGTGGCAACTGTCAATAAACCCTTCCACTAGACTGTATGTATTGTGTTTATTTAAAAATGTGAAGGCATGTAATAAGTGTAAATTCTTGGCAACATTACCAACAACAAATCAACTTCATATTTGGTTTTCTACACATAAATACTTTGTTATTTGCATACGGTTTGCCAGAAGGCAGAAAAATACCATTCAACCAAAATACAATAATGTAGTTTTATTACTTGTATTGGCAGGAGAAGGAGGCACAAGTTTCAATTCCAAAGTTGTGTTCCATTTTTGTTTGATTCAAAATTTTGTTGTTGACCATTTCCTGTGATGCAGTTCATGAAACCACATTGATAGGCATTCCAAAGATGATATCTTCTCTATGCCTTTTAACCATGACAGTGTTACCATGCTTAGAAGCAGAAATGCAATGCTTGAACTTGGACAATATTGATACCGTACGTTTATTATTAATGATTTTGATTGATACAAATGTGAGCTAACAATGTCAACTGATTGTAAGAGCATAACATTACCATGGATCATCGCATGCTCTAATTGGAGAGGGATCTTTATTGGACAGTGGAATAAAGTCAAAAAATCTTCTAAGCTGCTGCAGTGCATCTACGTCATTCTCAAACGCATGATGAGCAACACCTGAGGGGAAAAAAAAGTTTATATTTTGCAAATGAGTGATTATTATATTCTAAGTTCAAGTGTCAGGATAAACCATTATAGTACAAAGCATCTGTTCTGTAATCAAAATAATGTTCCCAGGATATTTTATCTACCGGTATATATAGTACTGCTATATCATTTTAAACATAAATCATTCATTCACGCATACATGCATTAAAAGAGGTTCAGATTTTTGTTTACATGAAACTGATATAACATGGAAACGGCTGAATTTTAGTTCCGAACATGGTTGGTGTCATTTGAACAATCTAAGTCCAAACCTGATACACTGGTATGGGTTTTGGCTCCTCCTAACTGCTCCTGTGTGACATCTTCATTCGTTTCACTCTACATAGAATAAATACAGTGCTATTAGTACACAATCATATATACTAGAAGCAGCATGGACACATGAGAAATGTGACAAACTTCAAAAGTCCATGTATATATTGTCATGTGTTCCTACTACACTTACTTTATCACAGTTAACATTCTCCAAATTGTCATTTTAGACATTGAGATAATGAGTGAATTAGTTTCTTTATTAAAATACTACATGTCCATCATTCGTTTTTGTATGAATGCACTAAGAAATGTGGTTGCTTCTGTTCAAATATATCTCAAGCATTTGGCTTCTTGTAATTTGTTGAATTCAAAATTAGAATGTTTAATACATGGATTCAACGATAAGATGCAGCATTAAAGAAAATATATGTCCAGGCTGTCTCTGATGTACAATGACTGCAAATCAGTTCATATTGTTGTATGCAAAACTTAGCCACAACCTCACAATATTTTCTGGCTATAAAATGTCAGCAAACCGATGTACCAGTATGTTCCCCATAATTTGAATTCGGTTAACTGATTAAAATTTGAGTTACTAAATTTGAACTTTCAAAAGTATGGGCATGGTCATTTTTGTAACGGGATGTCGTAACTGGATGTCCGTAACTCGAACAATTCAGCATCACGTAAACAGAACAGATAGCCACAACCCAACAATATAAACTGCTGTGGGGTAATACCTGTAAACCCACCAGATAATTTCTTAACTCACCTTGACAACATCAGGGCCGGTAATGAACAAATAGGATGTATTCTGAAACATAAAATAACAGATGATTGTAATAACCCTATTTATTTGAGACAACTACAGATGCTATTACCGGTATTATATACAAGAATGATTTTCCATTGCCAAAAACCAAAATCATCAGAGTACTATTTACAATCAACTTTGTGTTAATGATTATCACCATAAAGAGTTGTTTCTTTTATTTAATATACTTCAAGACTAATGAACATATTTAGAATCTTAATTGAGACAATATCCAGTACAGGGCTTAATTATTCAATCATTTTTGCTTATTTCACTGAAAGAAATGCGCTAAGATAACAAAATGTTGTATTGTTTCCTTCACAAACCAGTGAATTTTGAACCCAGAGTCTATCTCTGCAACCTTGAATCTACTAAAATTAAACACAGTAATCATTCCTCTCTTTACAGTAATCTGGATAGAGATATCTAAAATGAAATGGCGAAGATTGGTTAATAAAATTTGTTCAATTCTATCTGGCATGTAATTTGCATAAACCAGAATCTAGGAATTAATTACAACATTACTCACCTTCACCATGAAAGTAAAGTCGGTCAATGCCGGCGAGTAAACAGCGCCACCTATCAGTGAAAACAAGTACACATTGCTTTAAACGAAAAAAATGTGGAAAAGATTTTCTCTATTCAATATTCCCAGTAATTTACATTTGTTTCTTTTTCACAAAAGAAATATTTAACATAATGATAACCTCTATTGTTTCTTAAGGTAGCGAGAAGAAAAATTTCATTTTTTTCTTGATTTAATTTAAAAAAAATAAAACTGTTACTTTAGACCTTGAAACATGATCCCAGTTTTTCAAGGGATCAAAATTTCGGAAAGACGATGCTCAAATTAGTGTTTTAAAGGCTAATACAAATAACTATAACTGCAGTTTCGTGGATATTTGCAAAGCTTTTATCTGTTGTTGACGATTCTACATAATGGGTGATAAGCTACCTGTCGCAAACAATGCATGTTTATCCAATGTCCACTGTCAGGATAATTGTCAGTCAAGACTTGTCAGAAAGAGCATGGTCATAAATTTGCGCAACTTTCTTTTAAATTGTTTTATTTTCCCAGTCAATATTCTATTTCACTAACAACATTTTACTAAAGCAATGACGAGGAAAAGAAAGTGATAGGTGAGGCAAAGAAGAAAATGTGACACAGTGACGCGGAGCCATTTTAGACCAACCTCACGAGTGGTTCGAAAAGGACATGAGGTTGAACTATTCGCATTTTAACTACTTAACCGATGATGACACTCGTACATCAGACGAGGAAGCT